TTTCTGTTATTCGCCCGTTTTACCAACATGTCCATGCCCCTTTAAACAGAATCTGACGGACATTCAAATACCAGCAAGAGCAGCAATAAATTTCATGGTATGACATTTTGAGGTGAAAATAAAACTTATAAAGCTGAGTTCTCTCCATTATATGACAGCTGTGCGCATTTGAAGCCGCTAGAGATGCATGAATTTATAGTAAAGTATCTTGTGCGCAAAATGCATGTGATCATGAGTGGCAAAGCCCCCGATAATAATATTACATTTTGGAGGGAACAAGTTCAAAATAAGTGTCTTTTGTCTAAAAAGGCCAAAATAGTTTGTTGTATTTTGTATTGTATTTTTTGATTGGGTTCCTGTTGCCTGCTTCCTACTTCACATTGTATTGATGATCCAGTTCCAACACACAGTTTGGAAAAATCCATCGATCAAAAAATTATCAGGAAATCCAATCGCTGCATGGGGACACTAGTCTCTTACTGCCATTCATCCTCAAAAGGAACAAATTACATTCAGTCTCCATTTATCCAGCAATGAGTGACATGGTGCATGCGGCGTTAGACTACAGATCTAAGTGCCTTGCATTGAATCTGAGTGTGTGTGTTAATGGATGAATGAGAGGGAAACTGTAAAGTGCCTTGGAGAAATTCAGTATATCAATACAGTCCATTTCCAATTTACCATACAGTCCATTTAGTTCTCTGACTCATCAATAGCAAAAAAGCATAGTCCAAAGGACTCACTGCTTATTTCAGTAAAATAAAACTTCTCAAAAAGTGAACTAAATTTTCCAGATTTGTTACTTTGTTGCTGTACACTTACATCAAAGATTTGGAGTGTATATAAAGACTCAAATAGACACTGACGGTCAGCCACAGCTGGGTGGCGAAGATGTAATCTTCAGCCTCCACACACACTCCCTCCCTCTATGTACTACCCCGCCCACTCAAACAGGTAGGTGTTAAGTTTGGCTGTACTGCTGTGTGGGAGCTGTTCCATGTACACTGACACCACTCCTCAGAGAGGAAAAATACAAAGTCTTTACCTCACATACTTATTTGCCCCCTTCCTGATTTCTTATTTTTTTGCACACTTCTCACACTTAAATGTTTCAGATCAGTGGCGGTTCTATCTTGAATGACACCCTGGGCGAGACCCCCTTCGAGCCCCCCCAATTAAAAAAAATAATAAAAAAA